TTTTTTATCTTTTTAGTTTCAAATAGTTGTACAGCACTTTGTTTGAAAGCGCTTTATAAATAAAGTTATTATTATTATTATTAACATTTAAAAGGAAAGGAAAATAATAAGAATAAAATAATGACAGACTCATACAGAATTAAAAGCCAAGGAGTAAAAATGGGTCTTTAAAATGCACGAAAACCCAGGAATGTCCCGATGTGCCTTCCTGAAGGAGTCGGATTACCTGTGAAACCTCTGTGAGGTCCACGTGTCGCCTCAAGCTAAACCATTCCTGTTTTCGAGTTTTCTCGTGGTTGCCCCTCTACTGCACCTGTCGTTAACTTTTTACACCAAAGCAACCAGCGTTTCTTAACTGACTAAATCGAGCTCACAGAAGGACTTGATGCTGAACTCTAATAAAAAAGTGTTATGTGTTAGTGCTACTTTTATTTATTTTTTTAAGCACTGGACTTTTTGGCATTCGGATTTTGCAAACTGAACTCCAGCTGTGAGGCATGTTAATGGAGCATCACTGAAGGGATAAGTTAGCTGATACAAATTTCAAAACTCATCATTTAATTTGTTTTTGATTGAAATCGAATATTACTTAAACTCTCTTAAATTGACTTCCAATAAAAAAAGGTTTATCATTGATTGAAATTCATTCAGAAATAATTCTTCTTATTTCATTGTACTGTATATTGTTACTGTTATTTGCCCTGTATGTCTACTGCACAAACTGAACTGGAATGACTGAGTGTTCGCTTTATAATTTCAAATGAAGTTCAAAGAAAAAAAAAGATAAGTTCGCTGATACAGCAAACCAGACAAAACATGATGATTAGAGCGAGAGAGAAGAAACCTGTTTGGATGCTTGACATGATCTGAAAAAGGTGATTTAGCTGTAATTTGAGAGAAGTGCAGATTATTAGTTAGAGAACATTAATTAAACTTTTCAAGCTATCGTTCGGTCTTTGTGACGACTCTTTTGAGGGCACCCATTAGTTTTGAATAACTCTTTTCACTTCCTGTAAAATGCTTTTATATTCATCACTCTGTGACCTATATATTTTTAATCCAGTTTAATCTGATTAGCTTCAGCATGCTAACGCCTCCTACCACGTAAAGCTACACTTCATGGTTAGCTTGTGAGTCATAGTTAGCAAAAAAACATCTGAGGTCAGTCTTGGGTCAAAAACTTCTTCTACATCTCCAACAAAGTGTGGTTGCGGGTTGGAACGCATTCTTGTATTCTTCATCTTCATCGACTTCCTGTCTCCTCTACAGTAGAATCCAGTCTGATTGTTTATGGTTCTCCAGAGACGCCATGATTGTTTAGTCATCCCCAGAGTAATCTGTTAAAATCCTGAAATGATCCTAGTCTCCTGAAATGATACCCTGCTCTTGTACTCATGGGTAAGGACCTGCTTTTCTCAGAAATTGACACAAACACTGAAAGTGAACACGTGATTTTGTTTGTTATATGCTGGAGAGAGTGCAGGCGTACTCTCCCAGATTCAGAGTTAGGTTTGGGACGGTGTTTTTCAGACATGCATGGCTGACATGTTTGACAAAGTTAGTGTTTTCTGTCATATATCTTCAGTCCCAGTAGTGAACGTTTATATTAAACATAACAAAAGTTGAGTGATAATAACTCAGTATATGTACAAGTAACCTCTGTGAGCCAAAAGCTCAGATGGTCTGAAACATGGACTGCCACTAAACTCACAGTTTATATGTATATTTTTTCTCTAAGTGGTCAGAGAGAGTTATCCTTCATATGGTCATCTCAGTTATGGAACCCACATGTGGTTCAAAACCTCTACTAGGAGTTAAATTTTTCAATTATATTTTTATAGAGCGCCAAATCACAAAAACAATTGCCTTAATGCGCTTTATATTGTAAAGGTAAAGACCCTACAATAATACATACAGATAAAACACCAACAATCATATGACCCTATGAGCAAGCGCTTTGGCGACAGTGGGAAGGAAAAACTCCCTTTTAACAGGAAGAAACCTCCGGCAGGAATAGGCCAACACGTTCTCACTCCCAAAGCGTAACATTTTACGCTAGGTGACAAATCGTCAACATATTACGTTTTCGGCTACCCACCACGTTCCTGAATGACTACCAAGGAAAAATGAGGAAAAATGAGAACCGTATGGACTCAATCTACACATGTTCGCTCTTTTTCTTCAAATCACTTAGAAACACGCTATTTAACATAATTAAAGTCTTGGTTAAGGTCAGGAACAAGGTTATGGTTAGGGCTAGGGATAAGGTTAGGTTTAGGGCTGGAATACAGGGCTGGAACGTCTATTCCCGCGGGAGCGTCATTGCACTGGATTTCAGCCATAACCCGCCGCGTACCATAAGAACGCCGAAGGTCTCCTTTTGCGTTCCTCAGGAACGCCGCGGGACGTGCCAAAACGTCGGCATGTTACGCCTCGGGAGTGAGAACGGGCTCAATAGGCTCAGGAAGGGGCGGGGCCATCTGCTGCAGCCGGTTGGGGTGAGTTAAAACAGCTCATTTCAGACAGAGCATGAATGAATGAAAGGTTTGTTTTGAACTGTGAATCATGCAAATCTTAAAAAAATATTTTAAACACGATTCTACCTCAAGAGGCTTTTGTTAAGTTTAATATTTGACGCAAATGGTATCAAGTGTTGATATTTTTTAAAGGTTTTGTATCAAAGTTAGAAATTCTTTTGTGATGGCACTAATGTGAGGAATTTCACCACATACAGTCTTCCTCTGCTGCCATTTGTTCTAGTCTTATGCAAAATGATTCTTAGCTTTTAATCGATGTGTTAAAATGTTATAGTTAAAATACTTCAGAGTAATGTTTCCACTGCAAATCTTCTCAGAAAACATTTTGCAGAACCCTTGAACTAAGCCAAACACCCTGCAGATCCCGTGTGGCTGCAATCTTCATTTTTTTGTGACCAAAATACAGGAAACAGCTGACACAACAGCTGTTTTCGGCAAACGTTTCTCTTGAATTTGCGGCTTGCTAAATCATCTTTATCCAAGTCCCTCTTTAGCTAGTGTGTCCAACAAAAGGCTCGCTCAGATTACATGCCTTTGACATCCTCTTTCAAATCGAAGATGAATGATGGGCAACTTTTACAGTAAGTTCTCCCAATAGTTTATTTTTTCTTTTAGTGGTTTTCCCCACAAAGAAGTGATCAGATCTGTCTGATCTGTGTTGACTGTATTTGGCTTGCAGTTTCTTGGGTTTGACTGGGCGAATTTTTGCAATCTGGCATCTCCGTGATTCCAGGTGTGGAAAAGATTTGAAGTACTTGAACAATCTGCTGTGGTAAACACGTCCAGTGCTGTAAACACGTTTCAAGGTTCTTGACCGATCAGCTAACTGTAGCCTGAAAAAACAGTTCATCTGAGGCCAAACCTCAGCCCAGATTTTGCCAGAGCTAAGAGATGGGTGGAGGAGGGAAGTGGTTAACTGTGAGGTTGAGGTCATTGTTTGTCAAATATTTCTTTATCGCTGTCCCTGTCATTGACTTTATGTCTGATTCTTTTTCTTCTGAGGTGACAGGTTTATGGTTTTGATTGTGTCTTCGTGTTTCTGGGTGCTGTTTAATTGCACTCTCGATGTGTGATTTAAATTGAGTGTAGTTCAGGGCAGTCATTCTTTTGACTGCTTGTTCGCTCGTTTCAAATTCAGACTGTCAGTTTTGTTTTCATCCACAGTTGTTGGGCAAATAGACAAAGTCCGTAGAACTTGGAGAGTTTCCAGATGTTTTGCAACTCTCTGGATTGCCTCAAACAGCATGTGGACTGATTTTTGACCAATGGGACAAATATCACAGCACTTAGCTCTTTTGAATCACAGACAGATTGTTTTGGTTTTTGGGATCAAATCACGCTCTAACCTTTCTTTAGTCGAGTTAATATTAGTGAGTCCCACTCACACAGACTTAGAGACTGGTTGGCAATCATTTGGCAACCATCGGTTGATAGGGAAAAGTGTCTAGCCCTCAACCCACTGCTGAGTGGTTGCTTCTAGTGCGAAACTGGTTGCAAACAGGTATTTGGTGCTGTACCAAAAACCTTTTTATTATTGTTAAGGCGCCACAGGTTGCCATGGTCACCAGTAGTTTGCATGGAAGATGCCAGTTTGTCTGTCCACCATCAAAAACTACTTGCCAAGTAGTGCTGAAACTGAAAAATGAGCTGCAAACTGGAAACTCAGACTGTTTGCCTTTAAAGTAAATAGTGAGATTCGCAAACTTTCAGATTGTACAAACTAAATGTTTATGTGGAGACACAAACAGGACACAGAAGGTAAGATAGAAGAGAACAGCTCAGAGGAAGGTTGAGGAGAAAAAGGGCGGTAAGTACTCTTACATGGACGACGTTTTGATGTACGTGGCGTTTTTCATGCGAGGACACTCCACCGTCACGCACTGGAAACCTCCGTAGGTGTTCACACACAGCTGGTCCGCTGTGCAGTTGTGCATCCGGTTTTCACACTCGTCAATGTCTGAATGCGAAAGGTCAAAGGTGAGAGGTACAACTACAAGGGCGCAGAGATCTTAAGCATTCCCCAAATAGAACAGGATGACCTCTGACCTGCGCAGCCGCGGCCGTCTCTGGTCAGGTCGTACCCGGACGGACAGATGCAGTGGAAGCTGCCGGGTGTGTTCACGCACTGATGGACGCAGAGCCGGCCAGGCTGACCGAGGGGAAACAGATGGCACTCGTCGATATCTGAAACAGACACAAGCAAAATTCGAGTCGATTAATCGGCCGCTTGATTGAAAGAAAATTTACATCCAACAATTTCGGTTCTCAAGCGAAAATATCGAAACAGCGTTTCGTTAATGTGGTGGTTATTGGTATGGACTGATCACCTGTGCAGATGTTGTTGTCACGGCCTGATATGGTGAAGCCTACGTCACAGGTGCAGCGGGTGGATTCCAGGAAGTGTGTGCAGTGAGAGGGTCGTACTGAAGAGGAGGGAGAGGATGACGTGGGCGATTGGTGAGAAAGCGAAGTTGCTGAAGAGGATGCTGACAGAGCAGCAGAAGCAGGAAACGATGACGAAGAGGAGGCGGAGGAGGAGGGAGAAGCGGGAGAAAAGGAGGGGAGGGAGATGGCCGTGCTGTTGAGGCCTGAAAAGAAAAACCAGGTAAAAAAACAGAAGCACAAAACTGTGCGCAGAACTGCGATTGACCTCCGGAGACTCACGTCTGCACATGGGCTGCTGACCGCTCCACTTCAGAGACTCCAGACACACTCGGGTTCGAGGACCAATCAGCTCATAGCCGGACTTGCACAGGAAGTGGACCTCGTGTCCGATGCCAAACACCCTGCCCAGTCTGCGGCCGTGAGCGGGGGGATCCGGTTTGGGGCAGGATGCTGCAAGGCAAAACATTTCTGTCTGAGATAATCTTAACCCACCTGCTGGACCTCAAACCCTGTGGTCATCTGGAACAGACACCAGGAACTGACGGAGCTCCAGTGTGTCAGCCTCCCCTGCAGCTGCGCCACAAACCACCGCCACAGGGACACTACACCAAAAACTCCTCCCACTTTTACCATTTATTTTTTACCTATTTTAAAGACGGCCATGGTGCTGTTGTGCAGGGCGCTAATCTTCTTCTTTAGGGAGCGCAGGCCCTGCTGGTAGGACGTCTCATGGACCGCCAGCATCTTCTCCACCTGCCGCAGCGAGTTCAGCAGATCATGAGTGGGTGGACACTCCTGTGGGGGCGGGACGAGGAGGGGTTAGAGAAGGCCTTCCTCCATCTAATCTTTGTCTTTTTGGCACTTTTATAATAAGCCGAGTAAATTCTGGGGCCAGAACACCAAAACCATGAGCTGACTCAAGCTCAAACGTGCACGGTGGATGTGAGTGTATACTTCTAAATGCCTCCTATCACAATAAATATTCATTATTTACTATTAATTCTATCTTTAGGCCCAAATTATAATGAAAACACGAAGTTTTTCCAAGGTTGTAATAATTTGTTTGGCTAGAGGCAGAAGATGACCATCACATTCTGTTTGCGGGTTTGAGGTCTGCACACAGAGGTGAGGTTTTTCAGAGCTGCATTTAAGCCTGGGTGAAAACTGAACCAGAAGCGGCCGCTCGCCTCACAATCACTGTTGAAACACAGCTTAACCCGGCGCTACTGCCACACAGCGAACCTGTGGTTTGTGTTTTCGGTGTTTGGAGGCGTTCCTTTGGTTTCTTACAGGCAGTGAAGAGGAGGGTGAACCTGCAGCTGCAGCTACTATGTATTTAAACAGACTTTGGTGTTGGTGTGAGTAATCAAACTCTAATGACAATAAAAACAAGAATTCGTTCCCGCACTTTGATTGATTTGACCGGGGCTAAGGGTGTGTCATAGTCGTTGAATTTCTTTTTTTTAATCTTAGTTTTTTGGACATTATTTAACGGTACACAAGATTAAAAAGTTCAAAGAGCTCAACTTGATTTAAATTTACCTGAATCAAATTGAAGGTCATGCTCCTGCGCACCTTTGCTCTGAGCAGAACTCCTAATGTGTCGTCTTATACTTTCTGCTTCTAGCTGGATCTTCTCCAACATGTCAGAAAGATGAATCTTCAATTTGATCTTAATTTTTTGAAGCACACAAAGCTACAGTTTGAAGATATGTGTTTGTGATGCCTGAAAGTCCAGGTCAGGTCATTTCTGCTGAATGTCCTGACTCAGAAACATCTGGATATTACAGATGCTGAGAAACGTGTGTCCCTGCTGCTCTTTGCCTTCAGGTTGGAAAACTGGATTCTTGAAAACTGCTCAGTCTTAGTTGGACACCGAGCTCTCATCATCAGCGATGATTGTCTGCATAAATGTTCAGTTTGAAAAACGAGTTGATGTTTGTGTTTAGCATAGAAGGATCTAAAAATATCAGCCATGCTTGAAGCTCTCAGGACATGCAAGAGAAGATGATTATGAACATCATATGGCCAAATTTACAGAGCTAAATGGATTTTTCTTTCTTATATCTATAATCACAGTGAGTGGTACTGCACTATGTCTCAATAAATAATCTCAAATATATTTTTAATCTAAAAAAGATCACGATCTTTCTCTTGATCAGATCATGTTCCAACTTTTTTGACTCTCTAAGAAATAAAACTTGGATATAAAATCATTTTGATGTCAACTTTTACTCAAAAAACATTTAGACCCAAAATGCTGACTTAAGTAATTAGATTACATGTGAATCTACCATGTAATTTTGTTACATGAGTACAATGTAAAAAAAAAATTAAACTTCATTTTGCTTGATGATTTTTTTTTATTTGAATTTTATATGAACTTTTGATTTCATATATTTCATTTGCATTTTACTCAAAATTGTTCCTTCATCATTATCAGGATCAAAAATCATTTTTTTTCAGTGTCCTACTAATTAGAGAGGGGTCAGCTGATATTTTAAACATGCATTATTTTAGCTTTAGGGGATGACTTTTTGCAGGAATATCATCTCCAAGACTGGGAACATTAAAGTGTTATAGCCTAAAAGCTATAAAAGTAAAATGCAAACATGATAAGAACTATTCTTTTGTATTTTATTTAAGAAAACCAGTCGTAATTTTTTTTATTACATTAAATTCGATTGAATACATTATATTGAATTAGTCTTATGAGACCTTCGGTCCAAATATAGATGATTTCATGTTTTTCTTCTTTTTTTAAAAAGCATGACCAGGTCAGACACCGGTACCAACCTGAGCAGAAGAAGAATAAATCTGATGAAGGCTGATCATCATCATCGTCAGCGTAACGACCCCAGCAGCCTTCATCCTGGATAAAAGCTCCATCCTCATGATGATCCGTCTTCAGCTCCTCTGCTGCGTCCTCAGAACTGAACCATCTCTTCTCCTGCTCTTTCTTTTCGAGGGCACTTGCCAAATTTCTCCTGCGCTCCCTCACAACCCTCCCTCCACCTCCACCTTCACCTCCACCCACCTCCCTGTCAAGCATGTTGGAGGTGGAAGCTGAAGCCAGAGGAGGAGGAGGAGGAGGAGAAGGAGGGCCCACATCTGGAACATGCTGTCCCTTCTTTTTTTTTTCTTTTTTTTTTATAAACCATCAGCAAATCCAGAAATAGACTTAAATTATAAGGAGAAGTCAGCTGGCAGTGGTGTCTTTTAATCATCCCCCGTTGTTGGGGAGTATTTCAGATTCGCTCTCCAGCTCAGGAATGTGGCTCCTGCTCCAATTACAGTCACTATAAAGCCCCACTTTTTTTGAAACCCCAAACTCGCCTCGTTGCAGCATAATGTCATGTTGCTCCTAAATGACAAGGCAGCGATATCTGAGGCAGAAGCCCCCGCCTCGGTTATCCCCCACTCAGAAAGAGGAAAAAAAAAGAGGTGTAGAGATCCTGGAAGAGATTTTAGAAAATACCCTGCAGCTGCTACAAGTCCAAACTTCAACTTAAACTCAGAGTCATATATAAGGTATGATAATGGCAGAGTATGCATGCACACTATAATCTCCTATACAGCACTCTAAACACGTGAAAATCCCCAAAAGGAAAAACACATCTGCTGAATTTGGAATTATAACGTTTAATTGGAAGTAAATAAAAAAAATGATTGAACCAAACTCCATTAAACAAGGCTTTGAATTTCCTTGAAGAGCCTTTCACGCATTTGTTAAAAACACATAAGAACCATTTGCACATTATGGAAGATTATTGGAAAAACAAAAAGAAGCACATTTTGATTTTTAACATGTCTAAAATTAGAACACAAGATATGTGTTTAATAACAGATATGTCATCATAAGTAAACTAACAGAATACAAACCCCAAAAATGGGGTTGGGTATTCATACCAGATGCCAGCTGGTATGAAATAGAGATGCTTTAGTTTTATTCTCTTTAGTTATTCTTGAATTATCATCATTAATCTTGGTCCAAGTGAGCATATTGTTATGATGTCATAGTTTTGTGACGTGTAAAAAAAAAAAAAAAAAAAAATCAAATGAGCACTCAGGAAAACATTGAAAATAAAAGGCTGTTAGGATTGGGGCTGGGGGTTGGGATGTGATCGTGGTTAGGGTTATAGCGCTATAGTTAGGGTTAGGCTCTTTGGGTTAGGGTTTAGTGTGTGGTGTAACGGTGTGTCCACATCACAAAAGTATGACATCATAGAAATGTGAGTGGTCACTTGCAATGTGGAATGTGGACCAAGATTAAGTTTGATTATGCGGGAACAACGATAGACAGACCTCCTGGAAAACAGGTGGAGCTGTGAAGCACTCACCGGAATGAAGTGAAAGGCTCATACTGTCATCTTTTTTTCAGGTTTTAAAACTTTTAACAGATTTTTTTTATTACAGAAAGAAATTTGTTAAAATATTAATTTCATTGGTTTTCTGAACTGCTCTCACAAAACGGAGCATCTGAGTGGAGAGGTGTTGTTTTGTCATTTTCTCCGTCTTTTAGGTGTTTTGTGGTCCTGATGTAGCTGTGACTTCAGTTCTTAAGCGTTATAATCTTAAACTTTTAAAAACTAAACATATGTTGGCATTTTCGACTTGAACATACTTGAGCCATCATCATGCAACAACATCAAAGTGTTATATTTCTTTTTCTTTTTTTTTTAATGTATTTATTTATGCAAGTTTCAAAATTTTACACATTCACAAACAGCGGGACAGAGGAACGCAGACAATAAAGACAATAACAACAAACAAACAAACAAAAAATAATCAAAAACAAAACACAGGAACAAACAAACAAACAAAAAACAAACAAACAAAAAAAACAGCAACAAACCCCACAACAGGGTACACGGCCAGCACTTAAGACAGCAGAGAGAGAGAAAAAAAAAAGCAACTGGTATACATGTCAAACAACTCACAATCCAGTGAGTCCAATCCACAAAATCAAATTCACAAGATCGCTAGGAGGAGCCGATAACAATTATGCAATAACAGTTATGGGCAACAGCTCAGAAGGAAAGCAGTTAAAACAACGTGGTCAGGACCCAGGGCGTGAACTGTCCTTCTTAATGTGGTCTATAAAGGGCCCCCATATCTTCCTGAACTTCTCCATGGAATCAGACGTAGAGAACCGAATTTCTTCCAGGTATAAACAGGAGACCATCTCCTTGAGCCACCTCTTGAAGCAGGGAGGAGAGGCAGATTTCCACTCCCCCAGAATCAGACGTTTGGCAATCACCATACCAAACATGAGGGCCTGTTGAACAGCAAAGGGAAGTGCCAAGGAGTCGCTGGAGCAGCCCAGGATCACCATAAGACAGTCAGCATACAGTTGCCTATCGTAAACAATGCTATAGAAAAGTGTTATATTTCTGACACCACAGGAAATACATGCTTTTATTCTGGGACTTTTCTAGAACAGCTTGATTCTTATAATTATAAATAATCCTTCATCTTTTATTGGGCTTTAAAGCAGTCACTCAGTTTTTTCACATTAGCTGAAAAAACATTTGCACTAGGGATGCACCGATAC